TTTCATGGCTCTCCTCTTGGCCTTCTCCATGTCCAGGGCTCCAACCAGGATCCATTCCATCCCCACAGCCATTGTTGTGGTTTAATTCATTGTCTTTTTCATGTTCAGTCCCCAAGTTGTCTCCATGAATTAGATTATTTCCCAGGCTGTGTTTATGGGGGCTATAAGTGCCTCTGTTTCTCAAGAAGAAAGAGTGCCTCTGCAAGAGAAAAAACATATCTATTACTAGAATTAAATCATTTTCTTCTATATCTTAAACCTTCTTAAGTTGTAAAAAAAATCACAGATTTGCACTTTGCAATACTATATTTTATCTCTTCTCATTTGTTTCTGTATTTTATGTATTCTATTGCTGACATTTCCTCTTCTTGTTCTCATTTACTTCTCTTAGAAAACAACTTTTTCTCTGGTAGCGTAGTGGTTATGAGTCGGGCTGCTAACCTCAAGGTCGGCAGTTCCAAACTACCAGCCGCTCCACATGAGAAAAATGAGGTTTTTTGCTCCCATAAAGATTTACAGCCTCGGAAACCCTGTACAGGATCGCTAAGAGTCGGAACCAACTCCACGGTACTTAACAATAACATTGCTGACACTTTCTTTTCTTCTCATTTACTTCTCTGAGAAAACAACTTTTTCTAATATTATACTTGCATTATCTTTATGTAAATGATGTGGTCATTGCTTTGTACTTTGGTAAAGTTGCATATACTGTTAGGCTTTCAAGTGAAGGGTAACTCCACATCCTGTACCTAGGGAGTAGAGCCTCCCAGGATATAGAAATCTTTCATTGTGTTGGAATCCCTGAGTGGCACAGACAGTTGCATGCTCAACTAGTAACTTAAAGAAGTACCTAGGAAGAAAGCCAGGGCAATCTACCTCCAAAAAAAGTTACTGTCTTGAAAACTCTACTCTGCACACGTGGGATTGTCAAGAGTAGGAATTGATTTGATGGCAACTGGTTTGTTCTGTTGTTGTTGTTGCTTAGCTTTGGTTTTCATTGTGCTAACCTTGAACGTTGCATGCCTACTAAGATAGGAACAAAGCAATGAAAATCCATGGAATAGAAGTCAGAACAGTAATTACCTTTGGTGGGACAAGTATAGACCAGGAGGGAACATAAAGGATATTAGGGGGTGGGGTGGGGGTAATTAGAAATGCTGTGGTATGGCACTGAAGGACCAGCATTGGACTGCTAACCTACAGATCAGCGGTTCAAACCCACCAGCATCTCCTTAGAAACCCTACACAGGGTCTCTATGAGTCGGAACTGACTCGACGGCACATAACAACAACAGCAACATATATTGAACTGGGTTAGGATTGTGTTTTTAATCAATTGAAGGTAAAGGTACATATTGGAAATTTAATCAAGCTGTTGTTCATACTTATAAGTTATACTCAATGTTTTTTAAAAAGATAAATTAGATCCCATGAAGGGATGAAAATTGAAGAGTTGTCTGTGTAAAATATTGTGGTTTAGAGCATAGGTCCTCATGTCAAGTCAACTTGAATTAGAGCCTGAGGTCTGCCACAGGCTCATCTGTGATCTTCAGCAAGGTTCTTAAGTCTCTGACTCCATTTCCTCATCGGTAAGATTGAGTAAGAAGAGCACATGCCTCAAGGGTGGCTGTGGATTAAATGAGAGATGATGCATTCTAAATTAAACAATCTAGGCTTTGGGCCTTATATCTAGTAAATGATCAATAAAATGCTGGGTATTACAATTATATCTTATCTTAAATAATTAGATGATTGCACATGGCTGACGAGTAATATTTTGTTCTCTCCATAGGGAGAGATCAGAGGATCTGAAACAAGAAACTCAAGTAAGTGATTGCAAATTATGCCAGCTGTTAATAAATAGTATGTAGACTTTTCATTCATTATTGTGTATTTACTCTGCCTCATTCCATAAAATTTGAAGACCATTTATAAGAATAAAAACCGATTTGCCATCGAGTCAATACTGACTCATAGCAACTCTCTCTATATATATACACATATGCTGTTGTTGTTGTTAAGTGTCATGGAGCCAGTTCTGACTCATAGCAACCCTGTATAGGGTTTTTGAAAGCAGCTGGTGGGTTTGAACTTGCAGTTATCAGTCCAGTATTTATCTTTCCACACCACATCCGGACTCCAGCCTCCATTCTGCCTTTAGCAGATTATATAGATATATAGATATATCGATATATAGATAAATAGATATATAACTATAGATAGTTATTGTTAAGTGTTGTCATCGACTCATAGCGACCCTGTATTGGGTTTCCAAGGAGCAGCTGGTGAGCTTGAACCTCCGACCTTGTGGTTTAAACCAACTTTGCAGTTTTGCATTAACCCACAGTGATATATATATATATATATATGTGTGTGTGTGTGTGTATAAAGTGCCAGCAAGTCAGTTCCCCTTGTCTAGGGTTTCCAAGGGTAGAAATCTTTGCAGAAACAGAAAGTTTCATCTTTCTTCAGCAGAGCAGCTGGTGGGTTCCAAGCACCAAACTTATGGTTTGCAGCCAGTGCTTATCTTACAGAACCACCATATATACATACATATATGCGTGTGTGTATATA